TCTTCACCCTCCTGCCCTCTGGGAGGCGCTACAGGAGCCTCCGGACTAAGACCACCAGGTACCAGAACAGCTTCTTCCCCACAGCTGTCAGACTCCTGAACTCTGCCTCCTGACATCTGACCCACGTTAACACATGGACTGGACATACACACACCCACAACCACCTACACACACACATACAATGGACAACTGTACCCTCATACACACAATAATAACATGGACTGAACCACCACTCACAACCACTAGCACTTTATATAGCCTCTGTAGAAATTATCCACATATCTCACTTATCTTAACTGCACTACTGTATAGTTCTGTGTAAATAATCATTCTGTACATACGATAATTTTTAATTCTATAACTGTTTACAACTTGCATTGTTCCCATTTCTGTATAACTGTGTATCTCATATTTCTGTAAAGTTCTTTATTTCATATTTATATCCTGTTCATAGCCTGTACTCACTACAGCCTGTACATACTTATAGTTATAGCATATTCATAACATACTTCATACCGTGTACATTATAACATACCATAATAGACCCATTTCTGTAATATACTCACATATCTATATTATTGCTAATATATATTGTAATATATCTACATCATGGCTAAAACACTTCTGGATGGATGCAAACTGCATTTTGTTGCCCTGTACCTGTGACATGTGCAATGACAATAAAGTTGAATTCTATTCTATTCTATTATAAACTCCGCCAGGGAGGTTAAGGTACACATGAAAAACTGACTTTGATTTTAAAGACTTGATGATTTTGGTTTCCAGTGACTGTTAAGTAGATTTGTTGTTGGCAAATTACCCAGTATGTGTCAGTCGAGACCTTCAGCTAGAATATTCCACTCATCAAGAGTCCGTAGTTCATTTTAGTGAGTCCATCATTTCTGGAGCAGCATATTTTAGCTCTTTTAAGTAATTCACAGACAAAAAACCTGAAGCCACAGATTATCTACTAAACTTTACTGCAAGTGATGTTTTTGCAAAAAAAAAGTTATTTTGTTTTACATCAAGAAGCTCCTGGGCAGATTCAATTTATGAGATATGAGATTTATTATTAAGGTTTTGTACAGCAGATAGTTTGATATTAGAAATGTAATATTTGGCTTTTTTTAAAAACTATTTTGTCTTCCATGTTAAAGAACCAAAATATTTTTTCGCTATATTAATCCAATCCAAGTGTATCTGTAAAAAAAGTTGAACTCATTAGTTTTCTCAGATCTCTTTCTTCATAAAAGGCAGGATCTCATCTAAACAATAAAGAAAAAGGTCTGAAATCACCTGAAATAAAGAGTCACAACAGCAGAAACCCTGAAATGTATTTCTTTTAATTTAATTCAAAATAAATACTACCACGGCAATGCAAGTCCACTACTGGGTTCTTGCCCTAATGTTTTGGTAAGAAAACAAACAAGCAAATGATCGAAAAAACGAACAAAAAAAAAAAAAAAAATCAGTTATGCATCCATCATTCTTCAGCGACTTTCAAGAGGTGCCTTTTTAACAACATACAAGGTAACACTGTCTAGAATGACAAACATTAATAAAACAAACACTATGGTGTAAAAAGGAGGGAAGGAGAAGGAATTGGGACTGAAGAAACCTGATGAAACCAGCACCGCACACACACACGCACACACACAGGAAAAAAAAAACAAACAAACAAATAAATGACAGTCCTCCAAGGCTCCTCTTATAGTTTTTTAAGAAGGTGAAGGGAACAGAAGTACAGTGCAGACTCCATGTTACAGATGTCCTCGCATTTCTGGAGTCGATCGTTTTCAGGGACCATGGTGACATAAGAAAGGCGGGTTGGGGTTCGTCTCCATGGAAACATCCTCATGAATCACAAAAAAACCAAACAAACGCAAAACTGAAAAAAAAAACAAAAACAAAACCCAAACAAAAAACAGTGGAAGGGTCCATTCATTGACACGTGTTTATTTTTTTTCCTTTTAAACGTTTTTTTTCTTCAAAGCAGTTTTTGAATCGTTCGCGGGTGGTTTGGATTTTTCGGTCACTATTCTCATCAGCAAGCTTAACATACAGTCACACAGAAAACAAATGTTTATGCCTCATAAGTGAAGACAAAAAGAACAAAAAAAAAGGCATTGCATATTTACATCAAGAAGTTTGGGGCCACTTTTTTCTCGCAGTCCTCACAGTCTTCATACACGAGTGTCTCACGGCTCAGTTTTCTTGTGATCTGACATGATCAGTAAATTATTGATACTCTTACTTCAATTTAAATATTTGTCTGTGTGTAAATACATTTCTCTCATAATACTGACAAGATTAATTGGGTCAGGACCCCTGCGTCTGGAGCTGGAAGCCTCACTTCTGCTTAGCATCTGTGTGATAAATTACATTTTCTTCACTAAGATTTGTCATGTAAAAACAGTCTTTGTATCTGTTTATGAGTCAATATTTCTCCTCTTAAACTGAAAACAATGTTTCTCTTTTTTTTCTTTAAAAAAAAAAAAAATCTTTACAGCAATCTTCTTTTTAGGTTTTGCACAGCTGCAAAACCCTTTCCCTTCACTTTTTACTCACTACTCGATATGTCTCGGTCGTACTTCTCTACCTGCGTCGTTACTTTAACACACAAAGACGTACCAATCCTCAGTTCTTCTTCTTAATCTTTCCAAACATCTGTAAATGTACAAAATACTTTCAAGTCGGCAGAATTCTCCAGCAAATCAGATCTGATGTGTGCTCACGGGTGAAAAGGCTGCTTCACAAGGACAGTTTAGCTGACGGTATTTGGGATGATTGGATCGCTTTCCCCAATTCTCCACGGTCAGTTCCACTTCTCGTAGGAAGTGTGATGCGTCAGTCAGGCCACTTCTGGGCAGAACTCACTAAACATATGCTAATACTGCCAGTGTGGGAGCCGAGCCTGCGAGCTAGTCCAGACGAGCAAACTCCAGCTGCAGTGTCAGTAACACCAACATGCCCCCTCACTTTCACTACACTCCAAACACACCGTCTGCTGGTGGGTTTAAGCCGCAAAAATCCCCACACTGACTCTGGCAAGCTACTCGTAACCATCGCAACATCCACCTGTAGGGGACCAGGCCATACTCGGACTATCCAATGCTGTAATAAATTCATCACTTTAAGCTGTAGTTGCCCAACTACTGCCTTTAGTTGTAGCTGCACAGCACATCAGAGAAGGACGCACTACTATCTTCTTATCCATAGAATTTTTTTGTCGAACTTACTGTCTGAATGAGTTTGGCAGCTTTCTGATCACTTTCAACAGCAGCTGAGCTAAGAAACAATAAAATATCCACACGTCTTACTGTTTCCAATGAACAAAACACTTTTTCAGCTACATGTCAGAACACACATTGGAACAGGCGATACCAGATTGTCAATTTTGGTTTCTGGATATAACAGCTAGGTTACTTGTGTTAAGGACTCACTATTTGGAGGCTATTGGAGGGGCCTCCATAAAAGCAGAGGCCAGCAGGAATCAGTTCAGTGACCAAAGTAACACATGATGGGGACGGAACTACACGAAGCTCAGTCTGAACGGTCAAAAACTTTCTTGTGACTTGATGCATTGAGTTTTTCCTTTCCAGACACCTTTCTCACTCACTGTGTGTTAATAGACCTCTCTGCATTGAATCATACCTTATAAAGCGCCTTGACGCGACTGCTGTTGTGATTTGGAGCTATATAAATAAAATCGAATTGAAATTCAAAAAGGAAAATAACAAAAAATAAAAAGTGGTTGTCCAGTGTATACTTTTGTATTTGGTAACTAACTGCAAGTAACTGCAGTGACCTCTTTAGATCGCAAGGCAGTACCAAAGGTCGCCTGGTGGGAGGCAATCTGTCAGACAACTGTGGTCTGACTCAGTGACTGAAATCACGCAGATTTCAAAGGCTTGCACATAACCGCTGGATAATTAGAGATAGACTGACAACATGTTGCCAAAGGGAGCCACTCTTCTGTCTCTGTGCAACAGGACACTTGTCTCAGCTGGTTGGCAACTGGTTGTGTTGCATGCGCAAAGCTGCTGATGTCATTTTTAAAGTAAAATTGCCATCCCAAGGCAACCGAACTTCTTATTCAAATCTGTTTCTTTAACACAGTTAATTTGTGCAAAAACATTGTATCCAAGTACAAATCTGACCCCATTAAATTGCAAACTGAGCGGATACAGCAGACTGACTGCTTGACTCCAATCTTATTGTCAAAGTCTTGATGCACCAAAAGTGCTTTGAAGATGGCAGGTGACACAGTTGCAGTGATTCTGTTCATGCTTTGGACTCCAACCACTGTTTTCACTAGTGTGACTGTAGCAATAGAGGGTTAAATAAGCAACCAGAAGCAGGAACAGGAACCAACTACAAAGCAACGCGCAGCAAGCAAACTGCTTGGCATGTAGACGTGACCTGAGGCTTGGGGCTTCTGCAAGTTGTGGAGCGTTCTCGTGTCCCCATGTTTTGCAAAAACAGAAGAAAAGACCATCAAATCTCAGTTTGGAGCAAACTGCCGACTTCACTATGATCATTATAGATAACACTGCGATTTACTACATCTGAGAGTAAGTGTGTGTGTGTTTCTGTGTGCTATGACAGCATATTCTTGACCCCCATTCAATCGCAAACTGTACATACATACATGAAGCCATGTTTCCCTGTGTAAACATCCATTCCATTCTAGTCCTACAGCTACAATGAAGAAGAAGGAAAAAAAAGAGGAGAGGTGGATGATGAGGAGGAGAAGAAGCGGCGATGCTGCAGAGAAAGGCCTCGTTCCCCTGCCGGCTGTGGAAAGCTGGAGCGGTTAAGCTGAGTTTGAATGCGGTTGTGCTCTGTGGCGCCTGAGTGAACTGTGCAGTTTCTGGCAGTTTAGTGTTTCTTGTTTCAAAGTAACTTCAAAAAAGCGCAAAAATAAAATAAAAGAAGAGGGAAGTTACTGCGACGAATGAAAGGAATGATATAGATTCACCCATTCTCATCTTTCAACTTCTCTTTTCTGTTTGTTTTTTGTAATCTGTAGGCTCACTGTGATTTTCATCACCATGGATTTGGGAAATGTGCGCTGCCATGGCAAATGTACGAGGAAGAGTTTTTTTTTTTCTTTTCTTTTTCTTTTTTTCTTTTAATGAGTGAACCATGAGCCATGCACTTCTTCTCAACTATTTATGACCTTTCACATCCCAGAACCCACCCACCCTCTCCCCTGATGAAAAATCCCAATCCCCAAAAACAACAAAAACACCACCCTGTAGGTATGATGCAAAACATCTGCACACATAAGGCAACATTTTTGGTTTTTTGTTCCCTAAAACGGCTCTTCCAAACCAAGTGCAAAAAAGTTAAAAGAAGAACAAAAAAATGGGCAGAAACAACAAACAAACAAAAATATTAACGCAACCTGGGTCGACAACTTAATACTGACAGAAAGAAAAAAAAATAACAAAAACATTGCCTTCTGCAGTAAATAGCGCTGAAAATGTAGGAGACTTATTTTTTAGTGTGGGGAGACCGGCTGGAGTCTATCCCACTGTGCAAAAACCTCTTTTAAAGTCCCTAAAAAGACTTCTCCCCCTCTGCAAGGAGGCAGAGAAGAAGAAAAAGAGGGGAGACTGGTGTTTTTTTTTGTTTTGTTTTTTTTTTCCTAAAATGGCTACGCGTTTTCCTCAAAATGGCCACAAATGGGGACGATACTGCCTGGCTGGGCTGGAGCTCACTCTCGGCCGCTGGCCGAGTAGGAGAACTGTGGGAAATGAGGCCTTCGCTCGTTGTCTGCTGCATCCATCCCGTCCTCATCGTCTGTAAAAACACAAACAGGAAAACATAAGAATGTTCCAATTATGGACAGTAAGGTTGTCCTTACAAACTTTAACGGCAGTTGTCCTGACTCTCCTCAAATATTCAGTGTGTCCAATACTAATACTGTTTTCATTTGCAGTTTGTGTTTAGAGCCAGTGCCGTGCAAACACGCTAAACTCACAATAGCTGCTGGCAGTGTCGTCTCAGTCAGTTAATACGATGCAATAAATTGCAGTGAATGTGCACTTACATTTCTCCGGTGGAGTGATGGTGATGGTCTGTGCTGTGAACTCTTCATCGAAGTAGCGCGTGTCTGTCTCAGAGGTGACCTGAGGCTGGAAGGGTGGTACCAACTGGGACGGACAGAAAGCAGAGAGTGGTGGTGTTGTATCAGTGAGGGGTTCAGTCTTCAAACAGCTTCACATATGCTGTTGTTTCAACTGAAGGAACACTTTTTTTGTCAAATTACTTTTTCTTTTATCAGTCGTGCCAATATAACACAGATTTTAATAAAGCATTTTACCCTCAGACTACAGACACACTCTGTACTTTTAAGATTAGGCTTAAAATTCACCTTTACTAATAAGGTCCTGCATTTTTTACAGTTAGGGTTAGATATGTTTGTTCACCTTAAACAGAACTCAAATAGAATAATAGAATAGAATAGAATAGAATAATCCCTGAATGGTCCCACAAGGGGGAAATTTGGTTGTAACAGCAGCCAAAAAGACAAATATACAAACAAACAGTACACAGGACACAGAACAGAAACAATTTTTCTTACATATTTACATTAAGGACAATGGTTACTATAAACAGAGAGTACTGTACAGTTATTAAATTAAATAAAAATAATTACAGGTAAGAGGCAAACCAGGTTGTAGTGCGATTTGGTTAATTAACTAACTTATTGCAGTTACAGCATTGATGTAAACATCTATGTTTGTAGTTCAGATTGTACAGTCTGACAGCTGCAGGGAGGAAGGACCTGCGGAAACGCTCCTTTATGCATCGAGGATGCAGCAGTCTGTTACTGAAGGAGCTCTGCAGTTCAGCAACATCTACATGCATGTGGTGGGAGACTCTGTCCATCAGAGATGTTATTTTGGCCATCAAACAAATCAAACATTTAGAGCCTTTTTTTTCCTTTTTACTTTATTAAAATTATTTTGGTGAGTTCTAAACTTTTAGATAGTCTAACATACACTAATACAAAGAAATTATCACCAGACTACATGTGTGTTATGTTTCTTCATTAGACATACAAAAAAGGCAAATTTCAGGGGAATACAGTTTCCTGGTCCAAATGTGAACACAGAAGAACTGGGGGAAATAATCAGTTTAAAACTTCAAACCATATTGTTGTCTGTGTCTCCAATACGCACATGGGAGGCCTGGGTGGACATGTTATTATGAAAGCTCAAGTTGAGAAAAAAACAACATACAAATATGTATAAAACAATCTGGTGGTACTTGTCTGACTGTGTTATAGTGTTCAAATGAAATAACAATGAGGTAATGTTTTGTCCTTTTCGTTCCATTTTGGATTTTACACGTCAGCCAGACTTCTTTTGAAAAATACGGTAACCCTGATACCAGAATACCTCTGAAACACTGTTTGAATCGATTTCGATTGAAGTGACGATGACGTCTAGCAGCTAAATCCTGCTCTCACCTTCTTGTCGTAGACGTCCTGCCAGTCGATTGTGCCAAAGAAACTGTGCCGCATGATCTCCTTAGCGTCATCCGGTCCACCGCCCAACCTGTCAACCAACACACAGAATAAGAAGGAGATGGCGTCAAAGTCATACATCAAATAGCGCTCTCACAAAGTCTCCATCAATGGAACCAGAATATCCACCTGCTACTGATCCCAAAATAACTTGATGGGGTGAACAAGTTCGCTCAGTGAAGCTGCAGTAGCCTCTTTTCACTGGCGTCTTCGTTAGACACAGAAAATGCTTCAGGGATGATAAGAGTGGAAACTTGAACGCAGCCACCAGCTGGTTTTGCCTGAGAACATTTGAGCTGGGCACCCATTAACATAAAGAGAGTTTGTGCTCTCATCAAGCGTGTGCAAGATTATTAATTTAAGCAATTGTATGTAAGAACATGTTATCTGGATATGTAACCACTTTGCTAAAGTCTGGCAGGAGACCCAAATTACACCTCAAGATGAAATTAGTTAAAGTTCGGATGTTGAGGAAGCACAGAGGCTCAAGTCTGCCATTAACTGGAAACTGCTGGAACACACAATAATAATACGTTTTACACTGCCAGGGACAGAGAAGGTACTGACCAACAAAGAAGCACCTGCTCCAAAATCGACAGCTTCAAACAAAACTATAATTTGCTGATTTTCACCCATCCAGGTCGCCCTGGACAGGTCGCCAGTCTGTCGCAGGGCCAACACACAGGGACAGACAACCATTCACTCGCACATTCACACCTAGTGACAATTTAGATTATCCAATTAACCTATCCCCACAAGCTGCATGTCTTTGGACGGTGGGAGGAAGCCGGAGTACCCGGAGGGAACCCACGCAAACACGGGGAGAACATGCAAACTCCACACAGAAAGACCCGGCCTGATGTTGGAATTGAACTCAGGACCTTCTTGCTGTGCGGCAACAGTGCTAACCACCGTGTCACCGTGCTGATTTTCACCTGTACAAGCCAAATGCCTTCTGGAGAAAGGTTTTATGGTCAGAGAAGATAAAGATTAATTTATCTAGCCACAATGACATGAGGTATGTTTAGAAAAGTAAAGCTGAGGCTTTGAAATGCTGCTAGCAGCAAAATGCACCTGGTTGAAGTGCAACTTGCATGCTGCATTTGCCTGCCTGCCACATTAAGCACATCTCTCATACAGTTTAAAAAACAATGTTGGTTAAAATGTAGTTTTCTTATCCATTTGAAAAGACCTGACAGAAAGGCCTGTTGCACCTGTACATTTTAAGCGAGCTATCAGTGACAGAAAACCGCTGAGTGAACCTCAGGCAGTCAGCAGGTTTTCCATTCGTAGCTAAGTCAGTAGTGAAGTCAGGACTCGTGGAGAGTCTTTGTGTCAATGAGGGGACTCTGTCTAAACAGGACAGGGCAGTTAGCAATAAAAAGAACTTCACTGCACAGGTAAGCTGATCACAATTAAATTTGCATGCATACCGTTTGTTGGGGTCCTTAATGAGCAGCCCTGACAGGAGTGACTTGGCGTCAGCTGACAGGGTTCGTGGGAATTTTATCTCTTCCATGAGGATGAGCTCAAACAGCTTCTCGTGGTCCTGGTTGTAGAAGGGCAGGCGTCCGCACATCATCTCATATGTCACCACGCCCAAACCCCACCAGTCCACTGCACGTCCATAATCATTGTCCTCTAGCACCTGAGGATTTACACAAAAACCCTTTTTACTGTATTGTTCCCACGAGCCCCATTTGTATTTCATTCAGAAGAAGCCCTACATAAAAGGTTCTCCTCTGTGACTGTTTATATTAAAAGCCAAGAGGCCGCTATCATTATGATTAGCTCAACTGAGAACTTCACAAAAACTCTTTTTTCAACCTTTAACTATGTGATAACCTCTTTCATATCCTCTTTATGAAGCAAACAACTTTCTAGTTCTCCACTGAGAACCACATTAAAAGAAGTGAGATCAGTTACCCACTGGAAAGAAAACCCTTCATCAGAGGAACTGCCTCCTAGGGCACTTCCACATTGGACCTGGTAGTTGCTGGGTGGTGACACACAGACAAACAGAGGATCCGAAAAACAGTTTCCTTCCTGAATTTGTTACAGAGGACAAACCGGATAAATTTGGTTTTTGTTTTTTTAATCTTATGCTCTCTTTCTCGTCTTTTATAGCCATGGAAGGTTTGTCAACATCTGAAACCCAAAATTCAGATAATAGTCTTTATGTGTATCTGGTGTGACTGCTGACCTCAGGAGCCAAGTACTCCGGTGTTCCACAGAAGGTTTTCATAGTGGCAGTGTCAGTGATGCCTTCTTTGCAGAGACCAAAGTCAGTGATCTTGATGTGGCCATCTTTGTCCAACATGAGGTTCTCCAGCTGATGAGTAGTTGAGAAGAATAAAACCCATTAACCTTTACTGTATCCTTTTATAAGCAGTAAATTCACAATAATAACGGACACTTCTCAGATCTCACACAGAGCAGGTGTACTTTACCTTCAGATCACGGTACACGATCTTGGCAGAATGCAAATAATCTAAAGCAGAGACGATCTCAGCGCCATAGAAACGGGTGCGGTCCTCTGAAAAAACTCTCTCTCTTGACAAGTGGAAAAATAGCTGCGGAGAGGGAAACAATATGAATCCATGCAGTTTAGATATGTTTCTCTTATCAAGTGATAATTCATGACTCAATAGCTTCAGCAAGCAAACACAACAACTTTGAATTACACAGTTTTAGTCCAAAATAAAGCAGAATCATTGTTCAGTTTAATAGAATAGAATAGAATAGAATAGAATAGAATGCCTTTATTGTCACTATACAGTTGTACAATGAGATCTCCTACTCAGTGCAAACATGCTGGGGGTGGGGGGGCACAGTTCTGCAGCACTATATGCATATGGACAGTATTAACAGAGAAAAAATATATAAAATGTACAAATATACACAAGCCAGTTTTAAAAAGTAATAAATAACTTTTTAAAGCAAATCTATAAAGGAGACCAAGTCTCCATGTCACTCACACATTTAATAGATTCAATATAGATAGAATTAAAAAAAAATCTATAAACACTTAAACTTACTTAAAATCATTATTATTATTATTATTATTATTATTATTATTATTATTATTATTATTATATATCCTAATTGTCACTTTATGGTCATAAAATAAACTAAATAAACCCTGAACTGATTCGTGCTTTAAAATGATGAAACTATTACCACAATGGAACCACAAAAGTTCAGACTTCCCAGTCCAACATGTTTCCCAGTGAAACGTAACACTATCTAGTGAGAGACTGCTTGCTCTAAAAGCACTTTGAATCTCATACCGTCATGTTAATCAACATTATTCAATAACTTTTAAAAATCCTTGTATGTTAAACGAAAACATCTCTCATCAAAGTGCTATTTAAAAAGTCTCTGAGTGACTTCTTACCTCTCCTCCGTTGACATACTCCATTACAAAGCACAGCCGATCCTTTGTCTGGAATGAATACTTCAGAGACTGTGAAAATTATTAAAATATATTTTAAACCCAGACGCGCCATTTGTTTCAAACGCAACACAAAAGCTCTTTGAATCGAGTGCATCTTTCCAGCTGTTATTCTTCACAACACTTCTTAAGAGTCTCTGCACAGATGCTAGTAGTCATAGCTTGTTTGGACAAAATGCAAATTACA